TCTGTTTAAAAGCTTCCAAAGAAGGAGCCTCCACCACACTCCGGGGCAGAGAGTTCCACTGCTGAACTCTCACAGTCAGGAAGTTCTTCCTCATGTTCAGATGGAATCTCCTCTCTTGTAGTTTGAAGCCATTGTTCCGCGTCCTAGTCTCCAAGGAAGCAGAAAACAAGCTTGCTCCCTCCTCCTCCCTGTGGCTTGCTCTCACATATTTATACATGGCTATCATATCTCCTCTCAGCCTTCTCTTCTTCAGGCTAAACATGCCCAGCTCCTTAAGCCGCTCCTCATAGGGCTTGTTCTCCAGACCCTTGATCATTTTAATCGCTCTCCTCTGGACACATTCCAGCTTGTCAATATCTCTCTTGAATTGTGGTGCCCAGAATTGGACACAATATTCCAGGTGTGGTCTAACCAAAGCAGAATAGAGGGGTGGCATTACTTCCCTGGACCTAGACACTATGCTCCTATTGATGAATCATGTAGACCATCTATAATACAACATTGCCTCAAACAAGCGTTCTTTCTCCCACCCTGGGCATTCCACAGATATATAAAATCTCACTTGCCCAATTTTCAAATGACCTCACAACTTCTGAGGATGCCTGCCATAGATGTGGGTGAAACATCAGGACAGAATGCTTCTGGAACATGCCATACAGCCCGGAAAACTCACAGCAACGCAATGATTCTGGCCATACTCCTGACCTCACGATCGTGTTAAAAAACAAAGTATGGATTGGGTTGTTGTGGTTTTTTTCGGGCTATATGGCCATGTTCTAGAGGCATTCTCTCCTGACGTTTCACCTGCATCTATGGCAAGCATCCTCAGAGGTAGTGAGGTCTGTTGGAACTAGGAAAATGTGTTTATATATCTGTGGAATGACCAGGGCCAGCTAACACCTTCCAACAAAGGATTCCAGACAAGACAGAGGTACTCCTGGTCAGTCGTAAGGCCGAACAGGGTATAGGGTTACAGCCTGTGTTGGATGGGGTCGCACTCCCCCTGAAGACACAGGTTCGCAGTTTGGGTGTGATCCTGGACTCATCGCTGAGCCTGGAACCCCAGGTTTCGGCGGTGACCAGGGGAGCATTCGCACAATTAAAACTTGTGCGCCAACTGCGACCGTACCTTGGGAAGTCCGACTTAGCCACGGTAGTCCACGCTCTGGTTACATCCCGCCTTGATTACTGCAACGCTCTCTACGTGGGGTTGCCTTTGCAGACAGCCCGGAAGCTCCAACTAGTCCAACGGGCGGCAGCCATGGTACTAACAGGAGCGGGGCGCTGGGAGCACACAACTCCTCTGCTGCACCAGCTCCACTGGCTGCCGATATGCTACCGGGCTCAATTCAAAGTGCTGGTTTTGGCCTTTAAAGCCCTAAACGGTTCTGGCCCAACTTATCTATCCGAACGTATCTCAGCCTATCAGCCCACCAGGACCCTTAGATCTTCTGGAGAGTCCCTGCTCTCTATCCCACCGGCTTCCCAAGTGCGGCTGGTGGGAACGAGAGACAGGGCCTTTTCTGTGGTGGCCCCTCGGCTTTGGAACACCCTCCCTATAGAGATACGATCAGCCTCTTCGCTGATGGTGTTTCGGAAGAGATTAAAAACATGGTTGTGTAAACAAGCATTCGGTTAGTTTGTTATCACCGAATTTTATGGACTAAGGACTGGTTAATTATGGATGACGAATTCTGGACTGTGATTTTAGTGACGAGATACATGGTATTATTGGTGGCCCAATAATTTGTATTGTCTATGTGTTGTTGTTTTAAATTGTATATTGTTTTAATTGTTGTAAACCGCAATGAGTCGCCGACTTAGGCTGAGATATTGGCGGTATACAAGTGTATAAATAAATAAATAATTCCCCCAGGCAGGAAGCAGCCAGGCTTTGAAGCTGCAAGGCCATTCAATGCTAATCAAGGTGGCCATTGCAACATTCACACCTGCCTCAAGCAGACAAAAGTTCTTTTTCCCACCCTGGACATTCCATAGCTAGTTTTCCAACAGACCTCACAACTTCTGAGGATGTCTGCCATAGGTGTGGGTGAAACATCAGGAGAGAATGCTTCTGGAATGCAGTCTGGAAAACTCACAGCAATAGAATGATTTCTTTCCCAGGAGTTTTTAGACTGATGGATGTGTCTGGAGGTGTAGTGCAACTATCTCTCCTCCTGCCCTGGAGGTTATAGATATTTCCCACGCCTCATTATTTTGCTTTTCAATTCGAATGTTGAGAGAATGGCACCCAACCGGTCCGCCAGGCTTGTCTGGATTCCTTTTCTGCAACCAAAATAGCATCCTTATTCGAGCATTCAAGGACATAAACATGGAGGGGGAAAGACAAATTAGGAGAACATCTTGCTAGGAATCTCCAGATCAGAGATTTGCAAACTTGGCGTGTTGGCAACACACTTTTGTGGCATGTTTGCAATATGGTAATCCAGTTTTAGTAGCACACCAGAGGTTAAACTAGGCATGGGCCAACTTCGGCCTTCCCTCCAGGTATTTTGGACTATAACTCCCACCTGACACCCTCAGGACCTTTCCTTTTGCTAAGTGGTCAAGGGGGGAAAGGAAAGGGCCTGAGGCTGTTAGGAATTATGGGAGTTGAAGTCCAAAACACCTGGAGGGAAGGCCGAAGTTGGCCCATGCCTGGGTTAGACCAGTCCCTTATCAGTGTCGGTTTTAAAACATATCCATTTTAGTGAACTGAGAGTCGATGACTGTCTGTTGGGAGGGTTTTGATAGTGCCTTTCCTCCCAGGCAGATTCCTTCAGGACAGGCCCATAGCCAGGATTTTGATTCGGAGGGGGGGGGGGCTGAGTCTGAGTGAAAGAGGGTTGACCCTAGCAAACCTTTTGTATCGTTACCCCAATATCCCCCCATGCATATGTGATATATTGAGTATGGTGATCAGATCATGATATGAATAAACATAACAGTTTAAATAATGCACCAGTAAGGCCTTTTCGCTGAACTACCATGAGAATTTCGGGGGGGGGTGAAGCCCCCCGAGCCCCCCCCCCCCCCCGCTACATGCCTGGGGTTGGACTAGATGCCCTTTGGAGGTCCCAGTCAAGAATCCTTCCTTCTCTGGAGGATGTTAAACAGAGGCTGGATGATGGACATCCAGGGGTGCTTTGATCATGTCTTTCTGCCTGTCTGAAAAGGGTTGGACTAGATGCCCTTTGGGGGTCCCTCCCAGTCGAGAATTCGTCCTTCCCCTTGAGGTTAATGAACCGAAGCTGGTCTGCTGTCTGTTGGGAGGGCTTTGACTGTGTCTCCTTGGAGAACCAGGGGGAGGAGGCCGGGCCGGGCCAGCAGACCCCGCAGCTGAAGAAGGGTGGACTAGATGCCCTTTGAGGACCCCTTCCAGTCGAATCTCCTTCCTTAAACAGAAGCAGGATGGCCATTTGTCAGGGGGTGGTTTGACTGTGGCCCCTTCCACACAGCCCCTATATCCCATGATCCAATCCCAGATTATTTGCTTATCCCGTATTATCTGGCAGTGGAGACTTGGGGTCCTTCCACACAACCATATAATCCAGAATATCAAGGCAGATAATCCACATCGGATTATCTGAGGGGCCTTCCTGTCAGGCCCTATATCCTCAGATCTGATCCCAGGTTTTCTGTTTATCCCACATTATCTGGCAGTGTGGACTCATATAATCCAGTTTAAAGCAGAAAACTTGGGATCAGATCCTGGGATAAAGGGCCTGTTCACAATGTCATATAATCCAGTTCTATGTGGATTGTACACTGCCTTATAATCCAGTTCAGTGTGGATATTAAACTGGCCTCATATAATCCAGTTTAAAGCAGATAATCTGGGATGAGATTCTGGGATATAGGACAATGTAAAAGAGGACTGTTTCTCCCTGCCTGGTTGAAAGAGGTTGGACTAGATGCCCTTTGGGGGACCCTTCCAGTGGAGTCTCCCTTCCCAAAAGGTGTTTAAACAGAGGCTGGATGGCCTTCTGTAATGTGGAACTTTGACTGTGTCTTCCTGCCAAGACGAAGAGGGGTGGACTAGATGCCCTTTGGAGGTCTCCTCTCATTTCTGTGCTTTAGTTTGTAGAGGCGGAAAGCATTTGTCATGAGGCACGCCTTTGTGCTATAGGTGCCACACTTGTGGGTTGCAATGCAAAGTTTGGAAGGTCCCTGAGTTCTAGCTCATCCAACTGAGTTCTATGTCATCAAACTAAGTTCTAGGGCGTCCAATTGAGCTCTGGGTGATCAAATTATGTTCTAGGTCATCCATATGAATTCTAGATCATCCAACTGAGTTCTAGGTCATCAATACTACGTCCTAGGGTGTCCAACTGAGCTCTCAGTCATCCAAATGAGTTCTATATCATCCAATTGAGTTCTAGATCATCAAAACTAAGTTGTAGGGCGTCCAATTGAGCTCTGGGTGATCAAATTACATTCTAGGTCATCCATATGAATTCTAGATCATCCAACGGAGTTCTATGTCATCAAACTAAGTTCTAGGGCATCCAATTGAGCTCTGGGTGATCAAATTACATTCTAGGTCATCCATATGAATTCTAGATCATCCAACTGAGTTCTAGGTCATCAATACTAAGTCCTAGGGTGTCCAACTGAGCTCTGGGTCATCCAAATGAGTTCTATATCATCCAACTGAGTTCTAGATAATCAAAACTAAGTTGTAGGGTGTCCAACTGAGCTCTGGGTCATCAAACTAAGTTCTATATCATCCAACTGAGTTCTAGATCATCAAAACTAAGTTGTAGGGTGTCCAACTGAGCTCTGGGTCATCAAACTAAGTTCTAGATCATCCAAAAATCTAGATTTTAAGACTATGTTCTAGGATGTCCAACTGAGTTCTAAGTCATCCAACTGAGCCCCATGTCATCCAATTGAGTTCTAGGTCATCTAATGGCACTCTACAGCCCCCTTCTGCTGAGAGCCGGCCACAGAAGGACTTTTTGGGGTTAGGGCACAAGGCAGAGAGAACCCGCACTTACTGACGCTCATGACAAAAAGGGCAAATATCCCAACCACTTGCCAGAGGCGCAGGCCCCAGATCACCACAGTCTCTGAAGTGACTGGATCCGGCTTCTTTTTGGGGGGTTCGGTGGTGGCCTGAAAGGAAAAGGGGAAAAAATGGTGTGAGTCCAGATTGGGAACGCCCAAAACATCCCACCCAAAATAATACCCAAACCAAGTGGTGCCTCTTCTCTTGGCATGGAGATGCTCGCAATGAGAGTCAAAAGCTTGGCCATCTCCAGGAACTTCCCCTAAATTCATTTTTTTTATTTTAAAAAAGCAGACTTCAAAAGGAAGCAAAGCCTTTGAAGGGATGCTGGACATCTCTTAGATCTTTTCCTCCTGAGTTTGAATTCAGGGTGGAATCTAGTTCAAAACAAAATAATGGGATTGAAATAGACATTCCTATAGTTATTTGCTCCAGCAAAGGATCACCGCCTTGTCGGGGCGCTGGAGCTTGAGCACCTCAATGATGTCATGAGCGAAATGTGAAGGGCCACCCAAGACGGGACGGTTGTGGCAGAGAGGTCAGACCAAGCGTGATCCCTGGGGAAGGCAATGGCAAACCACTCCAGTATCCTTGCCAAGAAAACTAAATGGACCAGTACAACCAGAGATATGTCGGTATGCCATTGGAAGATGGGACTCCCAGGTCGGAAGATGGCCAAAATGCTACTGGGGAGGAGCAGAGGATAAGTTCATCTAGCCCCAGATGTGATGACGCAGCTAGCTCAAAGACGAAAGGAAGGCTAGCGGCCGACGGTACTGGAGGTGAACGACGAATCCGATGCTCTAAAGATCAACACACCATAGGAACCTGGAATGTAAGATCTATGAGCCAGGGCAAATTGGATGTTGTTATTGGCGAGATGTCAAGACTAAAGATAGACATTCTGGGGGTCAGCGAACTGAAGTGGACTGGAATGGGCCACTTCACATCAGATGACCACCAGATCTACTACTGCGGCCAAGAGGAACATCGAAGAAATGGAGTAGCCTTCATAATTAATAAGAAATTCGCTAAAGCGGTGCTTGGATACAACCCAAAAAATGACAGAATGATCTCAATTCGAGTGCAAGGAAAGCCTTTCAACATTACAGTGATCCAAATATACGCCCCAACCACAGCTGCTGAAGAAGCAGAAGTAGATCAGTTCTATGAGGATCGGCAGGACCTACTGGATAATACACCAAAAAGAGACATTATTTTCATTACAGGAGACTGGAATGCCAAGGTGGGAAGTCAAATGACAACAGGGATCACAGGCAAGCATGGTCTGGGAGAACAAAATGAAGCGGGACGCAGGCTGATAGAATTTTGCCAGGAAAACTCGCTGTGTATAACGAATACTCTCTTCCAGCAACCTAAAAGACGGCTTTATACATGGACCTCACCAGATGGTCAACACCGAAATCAGATTGACTACATCCTTTGCAGCCAAAGGTGGCGGACATCCATCCAGTCGGTGAAAACAAGACCTGGGGCTGACTGTAGCTCAGATCACGAACTTCTTATTGCCCAATTTAGAATAAAACTAAAGAGATCAGGGAAAATACACAGACCAGTTAGATATGATCTCACTAACATTCCTAGCGAATATACAGTGGAAGTGAAGAACAGATTTGAAGGACTAGATTTAGTAAACAGAGTTCCAGAAGAACTATGGACAGAAGTCCGTGACATTGTTCAGGAGGCGGCAACAAAGTACGTTCCAAAGAAAAAGAAAACCAAGAAGGCAAAATGGTTGTCTGCTGAGACACTGGAAGTAGCCCAAGAAAGGAGGAAAGCAAAAGGAAACAGTGATAAGGGGAGATATGCCCAGTTAAATGCTCAATTCCAGAGGTTAGCCAGAAGAGATAAGGAGCTATTTTTAAATAAGCAATGCATGGAAGTGGAAGAAGACAACAGAATAGGAAGGACAAGAGACCTCTTCCAGAAAATTAGAAACATTGGAGGTAAATTTCAGGCAAAAATTGGTATGATAAGAAACAAAGATGGCAGGGACCTAACAGAAGCTGAAGAGATCAAGAGAAGGTGGCGAGATTATACAGAAGATCTGTATAGGAAGGATAATAATATTGAGGATAGTTATGACGGTGTGGTGAATGAATTAGAACCAGACATCCTGAGGAGTGAAGTTGAATGGGCCTTAAGAAGCATTGCTAACAACAAGGCAGCAGGAGACGACGGGATCCCAGCCGAACTGTTTAAAATCTTAAAAGATGATGCTGTCAAGGTGATGCATGCCATTTGCCAGCAAATATGGAAAACACAAGAATGGCCATCAGACTGGAAAAAATCAACTTATATCCCCATACCAAAAAAGGGAAATGCGAAAGACTGCTCAAACTTCCGTACAGTGGCCCTTATTTCTCATCATGCCAGGAAGGGAATGCTCAAGATCCTGCAAGGAAGACTCCAGCAATACATGGAGCGAGAGTTGCCAGATGTTCAAGCTGGGTTTAGAAAAGGCAGAGGAACGAGAGACCAAATTGCCAATATCCGCTGGATAATGGAGAAAGGCAGGGAGTTTCAGAAAAACATCTACTTCTGCTTCATTGACTATTCTAAAGCCTTTGACTGTGTGGATCATAATAAATTGTGGCAAGTTCTTGGTGGGATGGGCATCCCAAGCCACCTTGTCTCCCTCCTGAGGAATCTGTACAAGGACCAAGTAGCAACAGTCAGAACTGACCACGGAACAACAGACTGGTTCAAGATTGGGAAAGGCGTACGGCAAGGCTGCATACTCTCACCCAACCTTTTTAACTTGTATGCAGAACACATCATGCGATGTGCGGGGCTTGAGGAATGCAAAGCTGGGGTGAAAATTGCTGGAAGAAACATTAACAACCTCAGATATGCAGATGACACCACTCTGATGGCCGAAAGCAAGGAGGAGCTGAGGAGACTTCTAATCAAGGTGAAAGAAGAAAGCGCAAAAGCCGGGTTGCAGCTAAACGTCAAAAAAACCAAGATTATGGCAACAAGAATGATTGACAACTGGAAAATAGAGGGAGAAACCGTGGAGGCCGTGACAGACTTTGTATTTCTAGGTGCAAAGATTACTGCAGATGCAGACTGTAGCCAGGAAATCAGAAGACGCTTACTTCTTGGGAGGAGAGCAATGTCAAGTCTCGATAAAATAGTAAAGAGTAGAGACATCAGACTGGCAACAAAGATCCGCCTAGTCAAAGCCATGGTATTCCCTGTAGTAACCTACGGATGTGAGAGCTGGACGTTAGGGAAGGCTGAGCGAAGGAAGATAGATGCTTTTGAGCTGTGGTGTTGGAGGAAAGTTCTGAGAGTGCCTTGGACTGCGAGAAGATCCAACCAGTCCATCCTCCAGGAAATAAAGCCCGACTGCTCACTGGAGGGAAGGATACTAGAGACAAAGCTGAAGTACTTTGGCCACATCATGAGGAGACAGCAAAGCCTAGAGAAGACAATTATGCTGGGGAAAGTGGAAGCCAAAAGGAAGAGGGGCCGACCAAGGGCAAGATGGATGGATGGCATCCTTGAAGTGACTGGACTGACCTTGAGGGAGCTGGGGGTGGTAACGGCCGACAGGGAGCTCTGGCGTGGGCTGGTCCATGAGGTCACGAAGAGTCGGAGACGACTGAACGAATGAACAACAACAACAACTTATTTGCTTAGCTTTAATGAAGCTGCTACACAAGCAATGCTTTGGAGAACAGCGGCACCTGCTGCACAGAGCAGGTATTGCAACATTGAAATTATTTTATTTTTATTCTAGCAGCAATATAAGATCCCTATGATACATATTCCATTGGAGTTCTTTTTCCTTTCAGTTTTTATGATTTGTTTCACTGTTTTTATGAATATGCAAATTGAAAATAAAACATATTAATCAACGAGGACCTCATTATACAATTAGTATATTCAATGATTATATTAAACATTGCTTCTATTCCCCAAAATAGCGCATATAATATTAAATACTAAAAAGCTAAAGTAACCCATCCACTTCCCCAGTATAATGTGTTTAAATCTTACGCCCATCTTTCAATATATGTGTTTTATGGCCTTATGCTTTTCCCCTATATACCTATGTCTTTATCTATGCGCTTTATGTATAGCTGCACATCACTAGTGCGATACCTGACCCGGCACATAGAAGATGGTTTTGAAAGACAGCAGATCACAGGAGCTGTCTTCAAAGGCCTGTCAGCAGCTTATGATACTGTAAACCATCGCCTCCTCCTGAGAAAAATGTCTAATATCACAAAGGATTACTACCTCACCCGCTTCATAGGAAATCTGCTACAAAACAGGAGCTTTTTTGTTGAGTTCCAGGGCCAGAGAAGCAGATGGCGGAAACAGAAGAACGGCCTGCCTCAGGGGAGCGTGCTTGCTCCATCCATATTTAACATTTACACAAATGACCAGCCACTGCCAGAAGGGACAGAGAGTTTCATCTACGCTGACGATTGTGCTATCACCGCCCAAGCAGGGAGCTTTGAAATGGTGGAACAAAAACTCTCTGAATCTTTAGGTGTTCCTACTACCTATTTCAGGGAAAGCTAGCTGATTCATAATCCATCTAAAATGCAGGCATGTGCTTTTCACCTTAAGAACAGACAAGCATCTCGAGCTCCGAGATGTCCAGGTTGGTTCATCAGGTGCTCTGCTATGGCTACTCTGAAACACAACATACAAACTATCTCCAGACCCACCAAGAAAATCCAACAAATGCTCCGTTCAGCAAAGGACAAGAGGGATCCTCTCACTTCTGCAGGACTCTACCGTATACCATGCAGCTGTGGACAAGTCTACAGAGGGACCACCAAATGCAGCAGCATTGCCCAAACAAGAATCCAGGAACATGAAAGGCACTGCAGACTACTCAACCAGAGAAGTCAGCCATAGCAGAGCACCTGATGAACCAACCTGGACACAGCATATTATTTGAGAACACAGAAATGCTGGACCGCTCTCACAACCATCATGTCAGACTACACAGAGAAGCCATTGAAATCCACAAGCGTGTGGACAATTCCAACAGAAAGGAGGAAACCATGAAAATGAACAAAATCTGGCTACCAGTATTAAAAAAAACTCTAAAATTACAACA